ACTCATTGCCTCTCACTTTTTTGCGATGAGGTAAAATGCAACGAATAATTATCCTCCTCTCGCCTCTTCTTTACTTTATTTCTGCCAAATTACTCCAAAAACGATTATGATTCCTCAAAGTTGCCCTCATTGTTACGTTTACCCATTCCTTTCTATCCTCATTGGAGCTGTGTGTGTTAGGCAAAATTACCTTTCAGCAGTTTTGTGATAGTCGCAGAGTCCGAGGAGAGTTGGGAGGCATTCAACTCCATCAATCCTGTCATCGTAGTGGTCACTAAATTTATTAAAGCCTGAACCACTTTTGAAACTTCGTCTCGTAAACAAAGTAGAGTGAAGAGACCGTTTTGCCTCAAGGAAACTCCCCTTTTGCTGCTAGATAGAAAATTTAAAAACACTTAAAAAGTTTTAGGGCAAACTTTTAAAAGGGAAGTAGAATGTGATGTGAGTTTTGCCCACTTGAAATGCCCTTCTACCTACTGCGTTAACATTTGCTGATAAAATTAGTTTTTGGACTACCCTTGAGTAGCTCCATCATCATTAACATCATACCTATCATTGGATTTGTCACAATCACTTCGCCTATGGGCATCCTTCTTTCTGCTGGAGATGAAACTTTTTTAGAAGATTTAAGCATAAATTGCCCCCAAAATGTTATAATTTATAAATTTCCTTGACGATTTTGTTTGGCACTTGCACATTTTAGTGCTAAGAATTAGTTCATTATTCAAACTTAAGTAGAATTACGACAAAGAGAAGTACTTTCTTAGTAATGAAAGTACTCAAATGCGATATCGACAATTGGATGGTCAAGCTCTGGTACTTAGTTCTCGATACTCGGTACATGTAGATTTTTATAAGTAATGATGCTTCAAGGAGAATGTGAAGTCGATTGGACTTTACTTTGCAATGAGAAAAGATTATGCAAATGAAATGCTGTAACTACGATGGGAGGGCAAAATTTCAACTACAAGAAATCGACTTTTATGATAAAGTCTCTCAAATCTAGTCCAAGAAAGTGAATTTACCTACGTGGTAATCAATTTTGCAAACGTTATTTTAGGACCGAAAACTTTTACTTTCGGTGTGTATGAGCCGAAAAATACATTTTACTAGATAAACCGTGGAGAAGCTCAACCATCACAAATATTAGAGTACCCCTGGAAGCAGAATTCGAATTAAATTTGTGAAGCGACGTAAAGGGAAGCAAGGATAACCTGCCAATGAAATAATCGGCAGACGGAAAATTGAGGGTGCTGGACTGCTTTGCGCCGATTGGATTTCCCTCGTCCTCTCACTTTTTTCCTTTGTCAGGCTATTCGAAGTGCCAACTTTGGGAAAAAAGAACAGTCTCCCGCCTTTGATGGAGGATGCAAAAGAGGGAGAGGGAGCACAATTTGCCATTCAGTGAAGTCGGATTTTTTAAACTAAGGCCTAATTTACTGACTGATTTCGTGTCAAGAAGCACTGATACTTACCCCACCACCAATTTGGTTGTCATATCCAGTGATGGCTTCTTGGCATAACGCAACCTCTTGATTGCGATGGAAAGCATACCGGAGTGTTTATTTTTCTAAAAATTCAAACTTCACTGGTCCAGAGCTATCAAGATAGGTCTCCAAAAAATTGAAAAAAATCCAGATTAACTGTGAAAATCATTGAATGCAGTGTACAGATGTTCGCGATTTAATAGGCCTTCGGTCTTATGCTATAGTGAATTGGTTTGAGCAACTTCCTTGTTTATTTCAACCAGAGAAATATATGAAAAAGTTTCTAATGCCATTCTATACAGATGGATTATTGAGTAAAGAAGGCTACTGGTCAGTTCTAAAAGTAAAAAATGCAAAAAAATCAGGGAAATGGAGGTAATTTCATGCGAGCAAGTAAATGGGAGAAGCTGGTAACTGTGCAAAAGCGGCACCTATTAGTAGACAAAGGGAGCTGCTGTCCTGTCGTACCTTCGTGATCTCAGAACACAAATTCACTCAGAAGGTGTCACTTAAAAAGATCGTCTTCCTGTATTTTTTGATTTTCCTCACTCCCCCTTATTGTGGCATGAATTGAGCTACAAGTAGGATTCACTGTCTGGCTTTGAAAACATTACCTCCATTCTTTAAGCACTAAATGAAATCAGTGGTTGTGCTTGGGTGATTCTACTCCTCTTTAAAACCAACGCAGGTGCTGTATTTGGAGGGGAGTAGTCGGATAATAGAGCCGTGCGAGAAGGTAGGACGCTGGCGTCACTTCTTCCACGCGCTCTACCTCAACTGCCACAGCTTCGACATCGACCCAAGCATCAGTCGGCGTGTGCTCACTATCGAGCTCTTCAGTTACCTTAATGAGCGCCATGACGAAGTGGAGTGCCATGACTGCTTTGCCTCGGAGATCAAATCCCAACTTTCCGGCGCTGTGGTTGTGGTACACACAGCTAGCACCTATCCCGACGTGAACCAGGAGGGCATCAACCTCCAGCCCGGCACCCTTACTGAAATTAAAATTAAGGCCATTGAGAATATCCAAAAGGAGCCGCCCTATGGTCGTTGTACTCGCGACACTCCCACCGAGATTCCGGGCCATGATAACATGAGCTATGCCTACTCGGAGTACGGATGTCGGATGTATACCATTCAGGTGGGCTAATCGAATTTAACTTCCTTAGCACTTGACACTCTTGCTACCATCGCCGTGTATATGCGACGGCCCGATTTTATTACCTAAGCCAGACGTTACGACCGTGTGACTTGTGTTTCTTTTTTCTAATTTATGATAACCGGTTGTACTATCTCGAATCTCGAGCACCTGAGCTAAAAGCATGTAAACATATTTTTCTGTAAATACGCTCAACAAAACTCGATGGCAATAAGTGTCATGTAAGCACATTAAGACATTTCAGTCGTGGTGGTCAAAAAATGCTTCTAATACATTCCTTCCTTCATTAATTCATCCTACCTTATTTATTGTCTAACAAATCATTGAGTTTTTTTTTCTGTAGCCTAATTACATAGCGGCTGTGTGCCTCAGAGACTGGAGGAATTTATTGTTCTCTTAATTGAAGGAGTTATTGCTGGAGGTTGAGGAAGGATCTCACTTATTCCTTTACATAATTGGGACGTTCTGCTTCTAGAGAGTGGTCGTGGAACATCCAAACGACAAAAGCAGACCTTAAGGGAGGATCTAATAACTTGTAATTTAAGACTGGGGGTAAGATATTTGTGCATAAACCGTTTGAGTTATGAATCACAGGATGAATGATTACGATGTGGTACAAATCAAGATACAGTTCAAGTTACGCCGCCTGTCAAATCAGTGTGTGCCCTTAGAGGCCAAAATGTTGGAAGAACCAAGAGTAAATTTTAATGACTCCCTCCCCGTGTGACCTGGCTGACGAACGCACACACACTCATGCGGACAGAAGAAATCTTGTAAAGTCGAGACTATGCAATAGGTGAAGTCCAACACCCTTTCTGCAAATCCGATTATTTCCTGTCAAGTTCGTGTTTGGATTAGCGTTGAAGACCTACTTAAGCGTATCAATAGGAAGACTAGTGACACAGGTACCATGATCAGAGCCAATACTATCAAGGTAAGGCCTAACTCTACAAAACTGGAGCACGTATTTCTCTGTTACACGAACCTCTCTTTCATCTGGATGTCATTTACAGACCTCTTTGCGGTCAATCGTTGAGTGCACTAAAACCACTCGTGAATTATGCACTAGGGTTTTACAATGATTCCCCACCACAATGATAAGGATTTTGTACCCAAAGATTGACGTAAATTAAAGATGGATGATGGTCTAGCGCAAGTTTATTTTGTATGCCAACCCAGTTCCGCGAAGCGCCCGATGTGAGGAGCTCTAACGGGTCCAAGATCGCAGTTCTCTTCATAACTTCCTACAACAAAGGGATTTATCTAATCTCCTGATGAAGATCACAACTCGACTTTGCAGTTACTTTTAAAAAGCCCTTCAATTTCCTGAAGTACTGAACTTGAGTCTTTAGTGATTGCCAATTCTCCGCATGAGTTTCCTCGGACTCAAACATCCACAGGACAAAAATTTCCTCTGATGTTTGGTTGTGTTATGTATTTAAGAAAAGCAGGGTTTTGGTTAAGTTGGAGTGGATTCACTTGCCGCTACCACCAATTTAGTGCTCAAATTGTTCTTAAAGGCGTAACAAAGTACAATCGTTTGTCATAAACGTACAGAGGACCTAAATGAATAATGGCTTGATAGCCTGAGCAGAGCCGATGCCACCGACTTGTAGGCTGGATTGTGGGAGGTCGGGAAAGAAAGCATCCTACTGCACTCTCGCGCCTCTCCTCTTACCATTAATAACGGCATCTGTCTGTCTTTCTCTCAACCCGACAATATCAGTCGTGACAATAGTCGCATAGAGACGAGGTGGAAAATATTTACTATATGACCTGAATCGGTCCCTAGAGATTTGGTTAGTAAAACCTCACGGTTAACATATCAGAAATGGGAAAATTTGCAGGTTTCACAGGTTTAAGAATCTAGTTAATTGTAGCATGTTTGGAATTTACTTACTTTCTCTTCATTAATGAAATCCTAGTTTTCGAAGGCAAATAAATACAGACCTCAAGTCCAACTTCAATAACGAATTTGGGTATCGATGAATTGGAAGCACAAATTTTAGCCAAAATTAAAGGGAATATACGAATAGTACGCCATCGTTCTAGAGATAAAAAGAATAAAAAAAAAAGAAAAAAAAACGTTTTTAACATCAAAAATATGTTGGAGAGAGAAAAATAGGGTACAAACTGAGGGCAGAACATCAGCTGCCACTTATGCAGATTTTATGAACAAGACACAACTCTACTCCATAACCATTAAGGGAGTGATCTGCGTATTCTCCTCTGCAATTTGGCAAACTGTTGCGCTTCACGGTTCAAAAGACAACATTACTCCCTAAATTCCCATTGGTGCATCGCTTGAGTCCTCTCTGAAGATGTCACGACTCGTACCATTATGAAAGAGCTGAGAGACTCTGGGCATAAGCACCGAGTTATGTCACCAAGTAGAAAATAAAAACCTCCAAGAATGTAAAGGCAATGTAAATAAATCCGACATGAAATCCAACCCACTAAACAGAGGAGTGTATTTCTGTCAACTGGCCTTACTACTACAGTCTTGTCCATGTTGCAGGCTGAGATCAACGAGAATTGCAACTGCAATGCCATAGAATTTCCCATAATAAACAACAGCCTGCCATTCTGCATGTCGATGGTGGATTTCGTGAAGGAGAACCGGTGTGTCTACGAGAAAATGGTGAAACAGGCAGAAATGCGCAACGCCACTGGACCGAGTGAAGAGTTTCTCACCTGTGAGGCGCAACTCAACATGGCTCGAGATCGCATTCTCTGCAAAGCTCTCGTCATGCAAGAATTCCAGGTGAGAAAGGGCGCTTTTTATACATGTATTCGAGGCCACAAATGCCGCTTAGAAGGTGAGTTTTTCTCCATGTGGGTTAAGATATTTGCAACGGTGCCTAAAATTCAAAGATTTTGGGAAATTTGACCCTAATTTCAAAAACACTTATAACGGTCTTTAACAGCTACACAAGAATTTGCCAGTTCAGTGGTGCCTGCAAAATGTGGGACCATTACTGGTTGCTACCAACTCTGCTTTAAGATACATATCACAGTCCCAAAAACCGATATGCATTTATATGTGAATCTGTCTATCTACAGATGAAAGTAAGGTTTTTAATTTGAAGGAAATAAAAAATTGAGCGCATCCTTCTTCAAATGAAATGACTTGCGGAAGTGTGTAAAAAGGGAAATGATAAATTGGTTTGAGCTGCGGAGGATGTATATATAAAGAGGGAGGGAGAGACTTAGTAATTGCGATGCTTGAAAAAACAAAGCAGGCGAAAAAACCTCCTTTAAATGCTCGTATTTAGATAATAAAAGTTCCTCTATTGAGGAATATAAACGCATAGGTTTGGCTTTTGTTTGAAAGAAGTGGGTTGAAAATTACACAAGCTGGTTTTCACTCAGAGGTGTGTGTTTTAAGTTGCCGCCTTTCATTAACTAATGCACAAAATTCTACCTGATTCCAAAAATGTAACCTTAACTTTTAAGTATAACTGCTGGAGTAACTCGAGTTTTCCCCAAAGCCGTGATAAGCCGCACCAGTATCAAAGAAGCGTAGGAGGGGTTCGGAGGCTTTAAGCAGGGTTCTCCCCACACGGTTCTCGGGTGGAGTACCATCTTTGGGAGGTAAAGAGTTCACTGCAACTGGAGAGGAATGGATCCACTCGGATATAAACTCATCAGCCGGAAAGACAACCATTGTGTACAATTGCATCACATACTGGTCTACAAGGTGCTGGGCCTTGTTGAAATTATACGGTTCCTAGTGCCTTTAGCGATTTGTACTATTTTCAAGCATTATAGCGAAATTTGGCTTAAACAAGGACAACGGAAAAAATGATTCCACTGCAATCGTAATGGAGTGGTAAAGTGGCTGCAGAACATTGATGATATCACCTGAAAAGCACTTTTATTTTCCTCCAAATAAAAAGCATTTTTGGGAATAAAACTGAAAGTAATTGCAAAGACACCAAAAATTATAACATGCACCCAATAAAAGGCAATCTTTGAAAAAAAGACGTGGTTACAGCCCTCACAGTTACATTTACGGATTACCAACAAATTTTTCTTTTGTTATTCGTACTAGCCACGAAAACCGCGCCTTCAGTAGAAGTATTGAGACCATGAATGTTCACATTCCAATACCGTGGAGATTTGAACAAGTATATTTGTAAATTGTATTCTTTCATTCTGCTAAACAGGGAGGTTAACAAACTTCTTAGGAGCTCCCGATCTTTAAGTAGATTTCACTTGAATGCGCACTTTTACATAAAAACAATTGACAGAATGGGCGATCTTTCTTGGCGTAGCAGCAGCTTGTCGTATGCTGGGTTTGAATGAATCCAATGGCTCTCCACTTTAAAATATGCAGATGTTACATGATAATGTAACCCCTCGAAACTTCCCAAGGATGAAGAAAGGCTTAATACTTAAGCGAAACATGTATTGACAACGTTGAGAAGGGGTGGAGACCACTGGCATGGCCTGAAGGACATAGAGCCCAGCGAAAGTACAATCGCGGGGACCTAAGCGCCTACGTGACCAGAAAGAAGAGTTAAGCAAATAACCAAAGTATTGTAATAACTAACTACTCCCTTATAGGGGTTGCATCTAGTAAAGATTACCAACTTCTAGGACCATTATAGCCAATATAAATAAAAGGGAAGAAGCAAGAATTCCTTATAAATAATTTAATGTGTCCCCGATTGTATTTTTTTAATTTAATGCCGAAATTCACGTATATGGAAGCATAAGGCTAAAGAACCAGAAGATTAAGATTTATAGTGACATCATTTCAAAGGTTAAAAGAATCACCTGACGAATGCTAGTAAGTTGTCAGCTTATTGTAAGCAATTATCGGGATTTCTAGGATCCATATCCGCCTGAATTTGCTAGAAAGAGATCTGAAATAACTTTCAGTGTGACACAACTTAAATGCAGCCCATTTTGTCGTAAAAGTATCTGAGATAAGGTGAAAGGGTTCAACTAGGTGCCACAAAATCTTTTGCGGCATTGAAGCACATCTGAACATACCCCAATTGTTGACCTCGTAGTTTAACAGTTTGCCAAAGGTAAATGCGAGTTCACCTAGAGGAACTCGTGACTCCTATGAGTTAAGGAAGGATTGTCGTGAACTGCCTGAGCTTACCACAGGGTCTGCAGTAGTTGGGAAATCAAATTATATTCGCAACCGGGTTTCATGGCGGTAATGTGATTCTGAAGGAAGAGGCTTCTTCACTCGCACACTGCATCCCTTGAGACGATTTTCACCATCTGAGAGTTATTTCAGTTTAGTCACGTACTTCCATAACGGTTCATTTTTTTAGAAACTACCAATAATCCCGGATTTCGGTTTCAGCAATCTATATTTCACCAACAATAGTCCAGTGTTTCTTAATAAAGCAGCTTTTATTTTTTCAAGAACGGAAGTAAGAAGAGCCCTCCCCACACCACTTCATTCACTATTTTAATAGGCTCCTCAGAGGCCGCCAAAGCATTGTGTATGGAATCATAACATTTAAAGGTAAAGCCCAGATATAATGCTCCAATACTAGTTGCCTTCATTAAAAATGAAACAAACTTACCGAATGTAAATTGTATTTTGTGAGGCCCCCTACATCGCTTTTTTACCAATCCTTACAAAATTACCATAATTTGTTGCCTAACTAGGGTAAAAGTCATTGGCCTTTATATACTACTTTTTAGGGCATAAGTAGTACAAGGCAGTAGAGGTATCTTGATGGTAAAATCAAGTTAAAACTAAGTTAGAATCTTTTTTTGCTACCCACCAAAATTATTAACCATCATCAATATGTGAAACTAAATAGGGCCGTAAATTTTATTAACTTATTTATTCATTCGGTTCCCCACAAACACAAAATATTTCGAATCAGTAAGTGACTTAAACGATGGGATTGAATTAAAGCCTCGATAGCTGGTGTGGTTGGACCAGTGCTTTCCATCGCTCACCACCCGGTTGTACAGAACCAGTAAGTAGGGGTTAGAGGAAGGAGAATGAATTATATACAATGTAGTTATTTTTTCCCAAGTAAACAAGCCACATGGAGCTCCACCAGATGCTCGGTTTTTCCCCAAATCGTACACTTCTTCACAAGCAAATCAAATAACATTGTATCTCTTTGTCAAAGAGCGCAATGCGATTTAAGTTCTCCTACATCCCACTTCTTCTGGATAATTCAGGAGCAGTGAACCAATTTATTTTGTCTTATTCGTCAGCAGTGGTATTCCAAAATGGCAAAAAATGTTCTACAGTCCTGAGAATTTTGAACCACCCCTCGAGAGCTTACAATCATCACAGAGGAAACCCCTTGACAAAAGTCCAGAACTCCTGCAAAGAGTCTGGTCAAAGAGAAAAATCGCAACATAGTGTAGTCACTTGGTCTGTAATGGCTACGCTGAAACGAATGAAAACCCCCTTTTCTTAAGCCGTTTATTGCACTGTATTTCCAGTGCTGGGATTCCAAAGAAGGCACTATTTGCCAAAAGCTAGAGGTGCTTAAGTTTACCAGGTATTCATATAGGTCGAGACTTTCTGTCTAATAGAGGGAAATGGGAAAAAAATTAAGGGCGTAGAAAATGCATTTTTATTTTTTTAAGATCCCCCCTGTCCGTACTTCCTTGACACAGAAAGATGTGTCATTACGGCCACATCATCCACATCATCGTCCAATATCGAAACTGTCTGCTGTGGTGTCGTCCTAGGGCCCACAGCAGACGTGGGATGCCCTTTACAACATTTGCACCATTCATATGCCTACCTGTTGAGCGCCTTAGGATTTCATATCCCGATCAAACCTAAACTCCTCTCTACTGGTACATTTCCTTTGCTTTTACTAGGATTTTGCTTTAACAGGAGGCTTCATTAACATACACTGTGGCATGCAACCTGGCACTTCTACTGCAGTCTTGATTAATGGCGTCTAGGTCCGACTGGTCCACGACATGAGTGCCGGTTGATAGTCACTTACTGCCGTGAGCAGTGTCACCGTAATAGCGTCGCCTTTTTAAAGCTGTAAAAGCAAAAGTACTCTTTTGGCTTGAACTCGCCTCGTGTAAATAAACCAACTCCACTTTTAGAATGCAGCCTGTAAATGTCTTTTTCACTTTTTCTGCATACTTTTTTCATCAATGTTGCTGTTGAATTTACTGGTCCTATTAAGCCCACCTGTCAGCGTTTTGATATTTTGCAATTTGCACCAGTAGTTACCTTCTGTTTTAAATCTTGAAGAATTTTCTCCCTGTCTCAGGAAACTGTTTTTCAAAATCGCTTAAAGTGATTAATCAGATAATAAAAAGAAGAGGTCTGATTGACGGATTTTAGTTAAATATTGAGGCTCTATGATGAGTTTTTTTTATTTTGCGTCTGTGATACCAGGGCGATGTAGTGCCGACATGTACATTGCCCTGCGCCTTCTACTCCTACGAGACGGACCGTTCCACATCAACGTGGCCAACGAAGTCCTGGCAGCTCACGTGGCTAAGCACTGACGTTGGGCGCACCATACTGGAGATGCCCGAAATGGTCGAATATCGTCGCGCGGTGGAATTGCTCAGCCAACCCGATGGCGATACTGGAGCCAACAAACGTGAGGTGCTGAGAATCCTCGAGCAAAACAACGCCGTTGAACGAAACCTTCTTGCTATCATCGTGGTTAGATCCAATTTCAACCTGCACAAGGTGAGAGGGCACGTCGTCTAGTGTACTTTAAATTCATTCAGTAATGTGGAAAGCATATAGTTGATCTGATTGAGCAGTCCATGGGTGAAATGGCAGCAGGGTTATAACACAGAGCGGACATTTAAAAGCTTGAACACTTATTCACCATATTTGGATGGATGTTGCTCCAACCTTGAGATCTGAAGAATGGTCGGGCAACCATAACTGGTGGGACAAAGTTTAAAACAGGTATGAAGCTAATGTTGGTATAATCAGAGGACCTGCAACTAAAAAGGCTTTTAAAAGAAGCTGGCATTCTTGGCCCTAAGAACGGTCTGAGGACGTAGTAGTGCAATGGCTAAGGCAAGCATTGACTGTCTTGCAACTTTCAGTAGATGACTAACTGACTGGATCTTCATCTACTGAACGATTCAGATCGTATTGAAAACTTTTACTGACCACTAAAATGATTTACTGCTATTTCGATCCTCTTCAACGCAAAATTATGAATGCTTCTAGCTGCATTGGCAGGTCAAGACGCCTCTTTCATCGGGGCAAATTGGGGGGCGTTTGTGCCTCCACCCATTCACATTACCGCAGTTTGAAAATAACGGTAGCAAATTCAATCCTTTCCCAGCTATATTTTGTTAAAATGGTACTTCTGCGTCATAATGCATTTCTGTTCTAAATTTAGCTTTGAAAAAGGTGTTGCATTATGAACGGTGAGACAGAGCATTGTATTTTGCAGGATGGTTGACATACCTGACTCGAAAGGCGACGCAAAATCAGCGAAATTGTCAAAATAAGTCTTTTTTCCACCGCATAACAAACGCAACTCACACTTGCCTGTCTTTCGAATGTGAGCGTTTTCATTTGCCTTAGTGGTATAAGCTCAGCAGACTTCATAAAGCGTGACAGGGTGTGGACGACGGGTCGGCTTTGGATTTTCAGACTTAAAGGCATACAATTCTTCTCATATAATATACTTACTAAATCCCTTAAAAATATCTTCACACTCAATTCCACATCCGAACACTGTTCCGGGACATGAAAACACCATCTAGTTAAGGTAGGTAAATAGGGCTACGTACGAAATTCATAGTATTTAGAAAAAGTAAGAATTTTTACAAGTACTGTCTTCAATAAATTAAGTTAAAATACAAATAGTTCACAAAAAAGGGGTTCATTGAACAAACCTTTAAAACCTTTTGTACTAAAATAATCTGTCTGCAAACAACTCACTGCAAGCAAGTTAGCAAATTTTTTACAAAGGATTGATTTCTTTGTTCCAAAACCAACCCTCCTTACCCATGACTTATACTGTAGCATCCCGTGACCTTCTTACAGTCGAGAGAAAATATAACACTTGGGCAGAATATACACTGCTGAAGCATAAAAGAACCAGAGGAGCCACTGGCATAGTTCTGAGGCAGTGTCGCTCAGCGGAAGCACAATTGCGGAGACTTAATTGCCCGCGAAACCGTAACAAAGGATTAGTCAAATGATCAAGATACTGCACAGGCACCTTCTCTCCTTTTGAATGTCGTCTCCAGTGCTTCCCTTGGTTAGCCTTTCGCGTCAATCATCACAAAGCAATTGGTGCTGTCAGGGAAGGCACCCAGGAACCAACCGTGTCAGTAATTTAATTTGGATTCAACTGAGAAGGGGCCTGACTGCAACTCCACTAATCTCTCCTGGCCATTCCCCACGATGTGGGATTTCGCACTGTTTGTAAACTGTATTTGGGCAAGAGAGAATGTGCAGACCATCTCGTGTGTCAATCGCTAGTCCTAAGAAAACTTATCCAAAAGCAGAGGCATTTGATAAGGAAAGAATCTGAAATAGTTTCTTTGAGATAAGGTTTCGCCCCTGGTCCTTCTTGCCACCTTGTTTGCAATTCAGTGCTATCCACCCATATCTGTCGGCCTGAGATCTATCGAGCCAGTAGAGAGATGGAGGTGGTATCGCATGTTCACTTCCTTGACATCCTCATGCAGGTACCGTAGACAACTGCGTAACCAACTTTCCTAGGTGGTTCACGGCCGCAGCTATTGTCACTTCAGTTGTCAACATTCCTGCGGAACACAAAAGTGGGGTAGTTGCCGCAGGTAGACGCCATTTTTAACTTCTCTGATAGGGGTTGTCACATTTTTTTCACCTGCAGCATATGCTTCTCTTCCGTCGCGTTAAGACTTAGCATTCAGTAACAGAAATAGGAATAACTGCCCTCCAGAATAGGATTTGCTTTCCACTGCCACCAATGTTACACCCGAGTCATTCCTGAAAGGAGTCATAGTACTGGTGCGGAATATGTATTAATGAAGCACAGAAGCGCTATGAAGCTGCTGGCATAGCCTGGAGGCCATGCCGTCCAACAAAATTACAGAATCAGAGCCACAAGTGCCCGTGAACCCAAAATGAAGTAATAAACAAGTCCAAAGTATTGCAGTAAATTACACCTTTGCAATCTGCAGAGTTGGCTGTTCGAATAAACATGCATGGAATATGGAGTAAAGAGGCATGAACTCTAGCCACCTGAAAAGTGGAATCGTTCCAACTGATCTACTTGAATGATAAGGACCCTTTCTGTTCCCTCGGCATATCAACCGTGTGCCTTCATTGGGCATTACTCCTAACTTTATGATGCACACCATAAAGCCCTTCATTTGGAAATAGCTATCCTCGTACCATTTCGGTAGCTTTTAATGGACAACAAACTGTCGCTGTTGTATGCCCTCGAGCACGCGTTCGTAAACATTTTAAAAACACTTATACTAGTGAGGTTTTATGCCTGTAGTGTAATGGACATTTATGACTGGCTTTGAAGGTAATGGACACTCCTGAAGTAATTTATCGTGTTTACTAATTTCTAATGCCACAAATGGAACACATTGTGGGTTATTACTTCATGCCTCCCGTACTAGACTCTACTCAGCTAGCTGTCGGTGCTATGTGATTTACTCGCTATCATAATTATTTTCACATGAGAAAATTGAGGCAAGTAGCTGAGCACCAGAGGCGATCAGCACCGAAGCCTGCTTAAAGGTGGCGGAATACAGAGATGACCGAAAAGGAAGCAAATTACCGACGACCAGGGCTTCTCAAACTCGAAATGCATTCTTTTGAATCACTTGTAGCACTCCGAGTCTTACTTGAAGTCAAAAGATGGAATAATATCAGGGCGGAATATATACTGCTGACGTAAAGAAGGGCTTGACACAATCGGCATCGCTCCGAGGTGGTGCCACCCAGCGGAAGTACAAAGGCAGAGCCTTAAAATACTTCCCAAACCAAGCCAAAGAGTTAAACAAACAGTCAAAGTATTAAATACTAAACTCACCTTCCTCGCTTGCACTTTAGTTACCATATTTTCCTTTCGAGTCAGGTAACTGAAAAATTTACGCAATTTATCGTCAACCCAATCCCTCGACGGCATATATGCCCTGTGGTTGAGGGTTTCTCTCAATAGCAAATAAGCAGTCTCATGCAATGTTTACGCCATCACTGAATAATTCCAATTTACTAAACAAATACAGTCTGTTCTGTACTTTTTGTCAAGGTTGCCGAGAAAGAAGTCTTTTCATTGACGAGTTTCCTCTCCCAAACCGGTGGTCTACTATCAATTTGGATTGGTCTGACAATGATTTGCGTGGTGGAGGTACTCGAATTGATCATAAACTGCGTCTTTGTTTACAAAGCTAAGAAGAATAGTGAATTCAACCAAAGTGAGTCCCCGATGCCGCCAACAGCACAAACAAAGCGTAAAAGCCCCAGGCGAGGTAGTGATAAGGTACGAAACAGCCAGAAGGAAGACGAAATTGATGTCGGTTACGTTGCCCTCCCCATTTCCGAGGGGATCGATATTACCAACTGATTCGTTGAAGTGGCTCAGTAACATTGCCAACTCCGTTTCCGTGCTTGTACGTGTGGTGACTTCAGAACCTGTGTGATAGTTTAGCGCTGTGTACAGTTTCCGAACTTTCTCAACCCGAGCTTTACCATGCAACTTCCTCCCCAAAATTCACCCGCCTACCTCTCCCGCCTCTACCACTCCTCCCTCTCCATTCATTTTTGTCATTGCACTCTTCAACATCCTCAAAAGCAAATAATAAAAAAAGACGCTATTGCAGAAAATATAGTCGTTTTTAACACCTGTGACCTTGGAAGAGCATTGACAATTATGTCTCGGAGGTTTAGCTGCCTCAATATTGACACCAATTGTCACTGACCAAATTTCAACGCTGCTCAAAACACGAAAGAACACTTTAGTTAACCTGACTTGCCACAACCATTAATCGTTCACAGCCGAATTACTCGCTTTAGATGAAAAATGAACCGTTCGTGTGCTTGTCGGTGACTGCGAGCCGCCAAAACGCGTCATTAATCTGAAGAGGGTTAAAACCGTTCGTGTCACAAAATTGACAAAGGTAACAAAGTACAGAGAAGGTATTAGGCGAACAGAAAAGATAAGGAGAACTGGGTTTTCCTGAGGATGATGCTTGGCCTTATCAGCACATTAAAACCGGTCCATTGTTTGCACACTGGATAGCACAAGATGATCGAATCCAAACGTCACTGTAAACTTCTATTAACCGCTAAGAGTAGTGCTTATTGTTGAAATTATATGCTCGCGGTACAACCTGCTTCCTTGGCTTAATTTCTTCCAAATTTTAGTAGTCCCATTTGAGAGATAAATTAAGTCTGGGTAAGTTTATGGTAGATAGCTTAAAAGTCTGACATTCCCACCACCCGTAGCAGAGCGCACACGCGTCGCACACTTCGAGAGCTTCGTAAACAGAGCTTGTGTCCAGACCTGGATATCTAACGTTACAGGCGGGGTGTCTGAGTCTGAGTCCAGTCATGCCGAGCCATTCATTGTCTCGATCAATTTGATTGGCTGCCGAGATTGAAGAAACGTTTTGATCGCATGTGAGATCGTGTTGTCCCCTTTGCATGCATGCGTCTAAGGCATAGACGTGATGGTGAGGATAAGTACGGATGCTCCTCCTTAGAGCTCTGCGCTATAGATGAGAGTTTGCAACTATGAGGTGAAATCCATGCAACCCACAACAGGCGCGATGGTACAGGTGAGGACGGACCACCAAAGATGCAGCTACATTGATTGCGACCTGGGCACCAGTCGAGTCATGAAAGTGCCCCTGACAGTCACCGCAGACCCGCCTACCTTGCTCAGAGGTCTACAACGTCTGCTCGGGTGTTAGCGCTCCGAGATGCGTGCTTACCATCCTTCTACCAATGGCGTGATCTTACTCGAAATCCTCCCTACGGTGAAGGGGAGTATCGAGTAAAGTGGTTAGTTTACGCACCTATATCATTTCGTTGAATTCAAGCGGTGATATCGTGAAGATTTGTGAGGCTATAGAATAATCGTATTTAACAGCTAGATTTGTCTCTCAACGCTTGAAGCCATTTGATGCACTCGTAAAACCCTACAAAATTGTATAGTGCTTAAAATATTTTTAAAATGTAGAACAGGAGAGCAATCAGGCTTTGTTCTTCCCTCTTTTGTTTTTGAAAGATAGGAGAATCCATAGAATTCTTCCTAGGAAGAAGTGCATATCCTGCACGTGGTAATACTGGGC